GGAAAAGTTGAATAAATTTTCCTGGTTCTCACTAAATAAGTTGATTAAATAAATAAGCCTGGTTAGAGCACTCTGTAACACTAAAGTAAATCCCTGTCTGTAGATCTAAAATTCATCATTTGCTTCATGATCAGATATAATATCTGGCAAAACAACAACTATGTCACTACATGAAAAAACCCTGTATTTTTTCAAATAATTACATTTAAAATTTACTGTTATTTTCAACAGAGAGACAACAATCCAATATAATAAAAATCAGGGCATTTGCTATCAGGAATAATCTTGTTTCACAGAATAAATGTTAGTTCTCATTCTATTCACAGTAATGATGAGTAAAAGCATGTCAAAAGTTCAATTACATGAGGCAATTTAAATGACATTTGCTCCTTAAACACTCTTTCCTTTTTTTTTCCATTTGCCCACAACATGGCAAAAACTCCTCAGTACTTAATTTATAGGCTTAATTCTATTTTCCATGTATATTTTACCATTTTATTTATAGAGTTATTTTATTCATGAAAGTAGCAGTGTAGCTTCTTTTCATCCAAGGTAATCTTATTTTAATACTGTCCCACATTAGGCTGGGATACAAAAAAGGAAATTTATTTTCAAAATCATGAGCAGTAGATTATACTAATGTTGAAAGCTACATGATTTTAATTTTCTTTGAAAATAAATATAAAAACATAAACCAGTACCTCTAGAAGTTAGTGTACACACAGGCCAACATACAGGACTTATTTGCTGCAACTCCCAGATCTGGTAGCAGCTAGTTTTGTTGAGTACACTTTTTCAATAATTATAACCCAGTTCTATCATGCAGAGGAGTTTAACTTTTAATAGATGTTTAACAGTAAACATTTCCAGTATCTCCAGCATTCTTGAAGTCTGGATATAATGGGGTTCGGTGACTTCAAGTGTGTTGCAGAGGGAAACCTTGGCAATAATAAATAGCAAACATTTTCATTTACACAAACCATGCAGTGTAGAGTGAGTTGAAGACTCCAACCTGGGAAGTGTCGATGCTCACTGCATTGATGGCCTGAGGTTGTCAAGCCTCAAAGAGCTTTGCTGGCTTATACACATTGCCAATGCTCTGAAAATTTTGCTAGATAAACTGCTGAATCTTGCTGGCACAGCCAAAAAATGTTCTCAACTCTCTTTGTAAGAGACCACTAACCTCTGCAACAGAAGTGCAAGAAAGGACCTTGCAAGGGGCACGAAGATACACAGTCACATCTGCTGAGGTTGCTGGGCTGGTAATCCCTCCTTTGAGGGGAGGCTGGAGGCAGCAGTTTCTTCAGCACCTACACCAAGGCCTTCCAGAACTTGCCTGTCAAAACTCCATCAAAATCCCTGGCTGATGCTAGGGCTCTTTCACACATGGCTTACTGGATTTTCAATGTGTGAAGTTTTTCTCTATAAGTAAATGAATGAATTAGCTGCATTGTCCCTTCTTTGTAGTCCTGTTATTAGCTCCTGGAGTCATGGCACAGAACACATTCACATTTCTGCACTCAAGTGATAAGGTAGCTTCCTTAGCTAAACAGAAAAAACCCCTGAAAGCAAAGATGTACTGACAGCATTTTGGCTCAGTGGAAGACATCTGGCTTGTGTCCTAAAGTATTGCTTCCCAAAGTCTTGCTTCTCAAACTTGCTTTGTTATCCTCCGAACCTCTGTTTCCACCTGACTTTCCTGGCTTGATCCTGCTCCTACTCAGACTCCTCACATTTGACTTTTGAAGCCCTTGATTTTTGTTGTGATGCTGAGCTAGAAAAGACATCTAATTTAAAAACACCTTGTTTTTCCCTTATATAGCTTTTCCTATATGAAAGAACATGAGCAAAAAATGTCCCCATCCCAAAACAAAGCAAAAAACTGACACACAGTTTATATCCATCACCAGTGCTATCAGATAGCATAGCAAATTTAGTGCAAGACAATAGGATATTTACTGATCACGATAGTTTCAGTGGGAAAATTTTGCTTCACCTGTGAGACCTGGGCAGCTATGTGAGAGTAGAGAATTGCACCAGAAAAAACAAAACAAAACAACAACAGCAACAACAACAACAAAAAACCACCCAAAAAAACCCTAAAAACTGGACAAGTCACCAGCATATCCTTGGCAAAGTATTTTCCTGCTGCCAGAAACTCATCTGTGCAGAGGTGCCAGTCTCTGCTAGCTCCGTACCTCTGCACTCCATAGCCCCAGTGAATTTCACTCTTTCAGAACTTTTTTTCCCCTCTGCTCCTCCATCTCCAGCTTAAAGCAACAAAAGATATTTGGGAATTCAGCTGGTCCCTCCCTCTCATTTCACATTAATCCTTTAGCCAGAAAAGAAAAATGCTGTGATACTTGCTCCCAGAGCTTCCTGCCTTTCTGTGCTGTATGGAGGGAAAATTATTATATAGCATTTAAAGAGAAGGTAGATTTTTATTTCCAGAGCCAGAGAAGTGTATTTACTTCTTAATCTCCATTTTATTAAGTGTATAAGCACAGATCTCATCTCTGCAAGTTCTAGCGATAGAAAAGGTGGAGAGAAAGAAGCGCCTAACATAGAAAAGTAATACCGCTATGAAAAAAAAGAGAAAAAGATTTCAAACACAGAATTTCAAAGAGTCTGAACAAAGATAAATTCTGCACAAGCAAACTCCAGTTTACAGACTGCTTATTTACAGGCCAGTATCTGACTATTTACTCTGGAATAGTTGTTACTTGCATAGTAATCAAGACCACGCTTACTACAGCTGTTGCAGAGTGAATGAACCCTCTTCTCAGCTAAACAATGACGGGGTTCAGCCAGAGCAGTCATCTAAGAAGGGACCAAGCAGCAGAGATTATGTGAGGTTTGGGGAGAGAAGCCGACAGCTGAATCCAGCAAGGCAGCCAAAAGCTTCTAGTGGGCAGAAAAAGCCCAAGGGTTTTTGTTTTTTTTTTTTTTTTTTTTTGCATATGCAGTGTTATTTTATTATAATCATAAGGTTTACATGCTAAATCCACCAGGTTACGCTGAATTTTGCAGCTAAACTGAGAGGCCATAAGGCACAGGTTTTGGTATCAGCACAATCATTAAATTGCTTATGAATATCTTTGCCCATTGGATGTCCATAGAGTTTTATAATATCTTTGCCCCTATAGTACAGCTGCTGGTTGACTCAGAATAAGAGTTTTTAATATGCTTTGGAAAATCAACCCCTGTAAACTTCTTGTGCAAAGACTTTGTGTTGGAGCTCACCTGTTTAGTTCATTTCCTGTCACTAACACAAATAAGCTATGGCAGTAATCACACTTTTATTTGAGAAACTCTTCCTATTAAGATGCTCTTGCTGTGAATTTACCAGTCACGTATTATACTCCAAATAAATGCTGCAATCTTGGGAAAACTGGAATATGGAGCTGATGTGAGAGTCTCTCTTTGAACCACAGTTGCAGAAGAAGATAATGACCTTCCCTGGTAAACTTACAGATTCCAGAAAAGATGATATTTTGTGAGCCTCTTGTTTTTCAGGATTTTTTTTATGTTTTGTATAGAATTTTTTTTGGAGGGAGGGGGATTTAGGATTTGGTTTAGTTGATTTTTTTACTGGTCTTTTGATTTTTGGAGTCTTGAGTGCCCAGTGCCAAAGCAAGACCTCTAAAGTAAATTGTTTACTTGGCACCACCTTCAAAAGTTGACAATGACTTTGTTACTATGCCCAAGTGTGTAAAAATAAATGATAAAATATATGTTGTTTTTTAAATGAATGTTTCTCTGTAAGAACAATGCAGGAGTTTTGTTTTGCTGAGTTGCAGTAGTTTGAGCCCCCAACCATACTCCTTTCAAGTTGCAATGTGAAATATCTCATAATGCCTCTTACCAAGAAGTGGGTGATGAAAACACTGCAGAACAACCTAAATATGCCCAAAAATTGTTTAAACCTTATGAAGCACTACATACATTTAGACAGAGCAGCAGATCCTCATTACTCAGAATTAGCAAGCTTTGAGTGTGTAACAAGGACAGTGAAACACCCAGCCAAAACAAACCAAGGGCAAACAAAAGTTTGAAAAAGAAAGCAAGAAAGCCAACTTCTAGCTAATGTTCCTAAAAGGCAATCACTTGAGACTGGATACACTACTTTTTATGCAGAAGTAGGCTTTAAGGTTGAATTTCTCAAGACCAAGGTAAGAGCAAAGTATAGAAGAAAAGTAATGCAAGTTAGAAACAGATCCAAAGATAAATTATTGAAGCGAGAAACTGTATTTCTATGGAACAAAACAGAGATTTTAAAGTTTTGGTTGATGATGAAGAATATATATGCATGCAAAACCACATGTGAAACAGCACAGTGCCATGTAAAAAGAACCATGCCATTCATGAAAAAAGATTGTATAACTTATAGTCAAATGCAATATGTAGGTCTTTTTCTCTAAAACCCTAAGAATCTTTTGAAAATCTGATCCATATAACTTGAAACCATAACTTTAGACTATCATCTCAAATTCTTCATGCAAATCAAATCTTCCATATATTCCACTACTTCTCTACTACTACTCAGTGGCACAAAAGAGACTATCAACATTGTTTTATGTTGAAATAGAATTTTGATTAGATAAACATATTTTATTCACAAATACACATTACATATATTTCTCCAAATAATAAAAGTTTCAGCTGTAAATATTTCAATAGTGGGGGTCACAATGAAAATACAATACCTTTGAGCTTCAAACAGAAGCTTGAGGGGAAATTCTTCTGCATATTTCCTAAGTGCTTTTGCTCATGAGGGATGTGGTATTACTTGTTCTTTTTTAAGTGTACATGCACATTTAGGAACATGAATAAACACCTTTACATGCTAATCTTTGAATAGAGAATATTTTAACTTTTACTTGGAGAGGCTTACCTGGGGTTTTTTTAATTACCATTATGAAGTCAAACTAAGTTTGTTGACAGACCACTGTGGTCTTGGTCAGCCAAACAAGAAGATAACCTGTCATTAAAATACATACCTCTGTCAGGAATGATTTGGCTGTGGAAGGGTTCATTATGAGAATGGCCCGTCTCAGGGTATCCCTGTAGCGGTTCAGTTCTTCTATTCTCATAGTGGCAAAGAGCCCTGTGATCATTTTATTGATGTTGTTTTCTACTTTCTGTAATGCTACATCCATTCCCTGTTGAGATACTTTGTCTAAAAATTCTTGTATTCCACGGATATCTAGAAAAAACAGAAGGCAAACAAGATGTTAATTGGTAAGTGGAAAAAAAAGACACAAGTAACAGTTCCATTTTATCTCACAGAAACTTTATGTCAGGTAGATCCCTACAGGCTTTCCCTTAATATTCATTAAACCTCTTCCTGAGCTGAGCTCACTGCATTTTGTTAAGTACTAAAACAGGAGAAAGAATGGCCACAAAACAGCTACTGTCCAAAACAACCATTAGAAGACAAACCTACAAACACTTTTAGGATTTTTCCTAATTTGGCCATTCAACCATCACACTTGGTCCTAATCTTTCTTAAAGGACTTCCACACTAAAATCCATATATGGCAATGAGACTATGGTGATCATCACACACAATTCTTCCTTCAGTTTTTCGAGGACAACTGAGGATGAGAAAGGCAGGAAGCAAATTGTTTTCTTTTGTGAAACTCAAAACTATGTTATAGACGCTATGTAGCTTGACATATCCAAGCAAAGCTTGGGCAGTTCACTCATAAAAAAGTCTTGATGTTGCTCTAAATTTCACAACTATTTATTTTCTTCAAAAACAACACAAAATCCATACAGTTGTTGCAATGATACTGCCTAGTCTCATCTGATACCACTGTCTCAGTTTAGTAAATTTTCTTCAGCACACTGCTCCTGTAGAGCTTTCTGGATCACTCTGGATAAACCCTTCTTTAAGAATGACTTAGAAAGGAAGACTTGATCAGCAAAATGTTGACTGAGTTTACTACCTGGCTTGTAATATATTTATAGTCTACCAAACTGAAACTTCTGGGTATGCTGCCTCTAGCTGGCCCAAGCCTTTGGAAGGGCTTTTTCCAGTACTGAATTCCACAAGCATGCTTGACTTTTCCTTTCCTTTGCTCTTTTTATGGTTTTAACTAAAACTCCAAAGTTTATGCTTAAAAATTAAAATCATTCAATGACTTCACAAGTCAGATCAGGGCCTTCTGGACCTCAAGAAAATCCCTTCAGCCTCACTGAGTCCTCAGTGTTTGACCTCTAGTCACCACTGCAGATTCTCAATCTGTTTTCAGAGCTAAGCCAACAGTTGCCTAAGGTGATTCTTCCCTCCAGCAGTTGCTCTGACCTGCTGCTCCAGAGGACACTCAGCAGGACATCCTTCCTTCCCTACCAACATGCAAGCCTCCCACACACCCTTCTGCTCTTGATTAGGGGAGAAAGAAACAGCCCTAGAATCAACACAACAGAGACTAGCTGAAAAACACACCACAGGAAAGGGAAAAGAGAAAAAGAAATCAGCAACCCCGCATAAACCGTTTCTAAATAAACATTTTTTTTTTAAAAATAAAGGTTCCTCAGGTTTAGGAGGACAGTTGGGGTAAAAATCACCAGAAAAATATTTCTCCCATTAGAATACTCAACCTGGTCACTTCTAGATGCATAGTCTTAGATCCAGTCTCTGAGGGAATTCCTCAGAATTCCTCAAAGTCCCTTCTTTGCTTGTCTCATTCACTCATTTTCCAGGGGAATGGTCAGACCTGAAGCTACAGGCTTATCATGTGTCTGCATAAGACATCTTCCGATTAGACTTTCACAACAGCTTGGCTACTCAGATCGTTTGTCCTGACCTACTGACTTTCCCTGCTCCCTGCTCATTTTATGGTGGGGTGCCTCAAACAGCAATAATAGGAAAACAGGGTTCACTCTGCACAGGAGAAAAAATGGTCTGCTTGCATCACCAGCAGAGATCAACTAACTAGGGAATATTACAGACAGCTGTCCTCCTCCAGCACCAATTTACTGAGATGCTTCAAATGATGAAGAAATAGCCATGCAATAACTTCTAATCAAACAGCACACGAGAGTAATTCAACAGGGTTAGTCTTGGAAGTCCATCACAGTCAGCAAGCTAGGTCTTCTCTCTAAAGCTCCAAAATACCATGAACTGGAAAGAAATGGTATTTTAGGTATTTAGGCTATTTTAGAGATTCATCACCAAGACCTCACTCTCTAGACACTGCTAAAATATCAGTATTACTAAACACTTGTAGGATAGTTTAACTGTGAATAAAATACATGCATGACCTAAAAATAAAGTTCCATAAGAGAATCAGATACTAATTACAGATTCTATTTAATATCTAAATCAGGAAAATTAGATTCAATCTAATCAGAGGTGTTAGAAATTTTTGGCACTTTAAATACCAACAAGATTATTTGAAGTGCTACATATATGTCTAGTTTTATGCAAATGATAAAATAACTTGTTTCTACTTTAACCCCTTCATTCTAAAGTTCCTGAGGCTCACACACTCTGAGGATTACTCAGGATCCAGACTAATTTAATCAAATAATGGGTAAAGCTGACAAGTTGAAGTCAAAATCACTGAAGCCAAAGGAACACATGTAGATGGGATCTAAATATGCTGTCAAAATATCAGGAAGAAAATTTACTCATGCTGCGAAAGCCTTTTTAAAGACTTAAATTCAGTCTCATAAATCACTATATTTTCTGACACCAGAACATGGTAAGCAGGAACCTCTAAACAAAGTTTCATTGGTCCTTAGTCAAAACAAGAACATAATTTTATTTGACCTGAATTTATAAACACACTAGAGTTATTAACTGATATTCTGCATAACCCATATTGACACAGAAGCCAGATTAATGGATCAAATAATTTTCTTTGCCATGAAGATCTGCATATAAAAAATGAAACAATTATGTTGATTCGTCACTAAATGATGGGACAAAAGAGATCCAGTATTTTTCTCTACATTATTAGGTGACTGTGCCAACTCTATTGCATCTGTGTGATATGCTATTAGGAAAACACCACCATTCTAATGGAAAATGTACCAAACCAGGATTCCCACTTCTTTATTATTTCTGTCTTTGGCACTGGTACAACACAGAGACGTGGGCAGGAGATAAATACAAAATCTGGTTATACCTTGGCTTACCCTCAGCAGAATGGAGGTACTCACCTGCTACTGTGAAACAGCAGAAAGCACATTAAAACACCCTGCAATTTAAATGCTATTTAAAGCATGATGGTCCTTCCAATATTTCAGCAGCGAGTCACTAGCAGCGATCATATTCATAGCGTATGCCAAAGAACAGATGCTGCCAGTGAATGGGCAGCATTATCCTTCCTGCGTGGATTGTCTGCAAGTGGCACATATCCACACCCAACTGTGGAATCATCATTCTAATAGATAAACTCCTTCTGCAGAAAAATCTGGCAAGCAACCTGTGGCACAGATGGCTTTGCTAAGGAGACACAAGACTGTTCATGTCTGGAACACAGGTGTTTCTTGCCCTGAATTTGCTAGCCAACCAACCTGTTGCCCAGGAAGAAGTCACATTTCTACTTTCTATTTAAATCAGATGAGTCACAGTCATTGCTAGAAATTCAGAAGAGTTTCCCCATTATTACCAGTATTAATTATTCTCCTTAGTGATCAAAGCCAAAATTAGCATGTAGAGACAGATAATGCTAAGGCCAAAGTTGCTATCTCCTCTACCAGCTACCAGCTTAATACCATTATTGTTTAGTATTGCATTTCCTATTTTTTACTGGACAGCCATCACTTCCAGACTACACACATGTGCACAAGAACAGACAACCCCTCTGTATTCACCATCACCTATAGGTTTAAACCAGGCTGGAAATTTATAAGAAACATTCCCAAACATTCTCCTTACAACCAAAACTGTTCTCAACTGAAGAGACCATGAAATTGGCTCGGAAATGCTAATAAACAAAGCAAGTAAAATTTATCAAGGCCTCTGTTGGAAATGTCCTTTCTGAGCATATATAACCATGCCACAAGGCAGAGGTCTACAGGGAGGTCTTATGGCCTGCACTGGTGGTGCACAGCTGGTCCCACACTGGGCACACCAGCCTGGCTACAGTCACAGCTGAGACACACATGCAGAGCAGCCTGCAGAGGAGAGCTCAAGGCCCAGAGCTGCTGAAGCTCTGCAGACCTGGTTGATATATTCAATTGCAGGTACTCAGTGTAACGCTGCTCCAGCTCAGATCTGAATTCAGGTGACAGCTTCACCAAACTTGTCATTACTGTGTCAGCTATTGTGCATTCTGACCTAAGAAAGAACTTAGGAAATGAAGCATGAACTCACACACCTTCTTCTCACTGAACAGTCTTTATGATACTGAAGAAAGCGCAAGAAACATGTGGGTATCTTAAATACAGAGCATGCTCAGGAAAAGTGCCCTTCACAGACTATAGGTCTAAATCTTCTTAAATGAGCAGCCTGGCAGGAAGACTCAGACCTCACCTAACATAAACCATAAGAACCATTTAATGGAAAAGTTCAGGCACATGCTGTGACTTGTGGGGTTGTTCAGAGCGGGCCAGGAGGGGGACTTGAATGAGCCTGTGAGTCCCTTCTAACTCAGAGCATTCTATGATTCTTTCACAAGGTTTTGTTTAATCATGGGACCAGACCTCAGATCATTTTTTTGTTCTCTCTGACCTCCCATAACTTTCCTTTACCATCTCTGTTTTATACAGAAGGAACAAGTTCCGTAATCCATTTTGGAGAAAACCTAATAATTAGGGCATCCTAGAACAAAATATGCTGGCTTTCAGGAATCTCATCTACCAGGATACATATGCAGTGAAGATTTTATAACATGAATAAAATGAACGGCAAATATTAAATAACTCATAAGCTAAGTACCTCTTACAACTTTATTAAAAAGAAATATTTACAAGTAGATGCAAAGTTCATAATTTTTTTTTTCAGATCACACTATTATCAGGAGATGAGAAAGATGGCATTATTCACTAATGGTAATAAATTAATCCATCCACCTGTATCATTGTGTTCCACCTAAATCACACGCTGTGCACTTCTGTTATCTCAAGCCTGGCTTACAGTCATTAGCTCATCCTCCCTCAGATGGCATTTCAGATCTGAGAACATTCTCCTCAGAGTATCTGGCTGATAAATACCAACTGATTCAGCTGTGGTGGTAAAGGTGAATGTGC